GGTTTATTGGATTGTGGGCAATGTGTGACAATTTATGCTAATGGGTCCGATCTCCAAAGCGGTTGCATTCGTGTTATTAATTTGTTTCAATTTGTATTCTGTTTTAAGTTGGATTTTATAACTTTTGATCAATGTTTCCTGATACTACGCCTTATGCGTTACGTGAAGTTAATTTCTGAATTACCCCCTGGTATTATATTTTAATTTTCGTTTCTATTGAACTATATTACTTTCCTTCTTCTTCTGTCACGACGTGGACTGTAACAACTAAACTGATCCACCATAGTCTGACGTGACTCTATTGGATCTTTTACGGAGGCATTATTTTTGTTATGACAAAATGTCCAATCGGAATTTTCATGTCTTACTTATACTTATATCCTTAGTTATTTTCTTTATATTCTTCATCAGTGTCTTATCCTATTTCATTTGGGGCTCCTAGTTTTAAGGCGTCAACAACAGTTTGCCTTTATTTTCTTCACATTATTTTAAAAATCAAGATCTATTTATTTATTGTTACCTAAGTCTTGCTTTTACTTTAGATAGAGTCTCGGAAATCTCGTAAAAATGAAAAAAGGTTGTTCCCTAAAGTTTTCCCGCTTTCTCATGGCATGTTAATCTGCGCCCACGCTGATAACAATGTTTAAAGTGCACTGATAACAGGTTATCCGCAGCACACTGACACACTGCATCGTGTCGTAACAGTTTGTTGCGGGTGTCGCCAACCTTTCAGGTGGAAACCTTTTTGTGTTTTCTTTGAGCATCAGAATTATCCAGTTTCAGAGAAAACAGAGTTTTATTTACACATTTTATGATATTTATGATATGAGATGAGGGAAATGAGCGTGCATGAAATATTTTGGCAAAACATAATTCATGCGAATGAAAAGACGGGAAAAACTAATTAAAAAAAGACGCAGTTCAATTTTATATTTATTGGTCAAAAATAAAACTAAACTTTACTTGAAACGTGTCTTAATTAACATTAAATAACTTTAAAGTGACGCGTTTTTAAAATGTTGCCGATCCCTGATCCAGTGGATCTTAGCAACCGAATATTTGCCTTTTTTATTGGCCAGAGGTAACGTTCACAGTTCGAGTGGTGCTGTGAATCAGTCGGAACAATAAACATTGCTTCCAGTGCACAAAGCGGTCGGTTGTAAAATCCACGCAACTTGTATGAACTAGAACAGTAGGTTTGATTGTATGGAATGTTTGTATAGAGAGAAATGAGCCTGGGGGGAGAAATTGGGTATTTTTATTGGCAGTCGTATTTATTTTTTGAATAAACTAGCTTCTATCCGCGGTTATGCTCGTGTAAAAAAATTCTAGTCGCATTGGAGGACTGATCAGAAACACTTTGGTTCTTCATTTAAACTTCATCAATAGTTCCCCTCCTCTTTCATGTTTCTTTGAATAAATGACATAGACAATGTTTTTGATACTGAACCGAAGGTCACATAATAACCTAGAGTAGATTTTGCCCCTTAGGTTGTCAGTGTTACTGGGATGTAACAAAGCCTAAACATCAAAAGATTTGCTGCAAAAATTATGCAAAGGAAGTTATGTTTACATAGAAAGCTGTGTAAAGCTATAATTCTTAAAAATATTCCTCTAAACTTTAGGTTGAATGAACTATTTGTTACTCATCTTTTTAGCTCACCTATCTGAAATTTAATGAGTTTATAATAAAATGCATACTTTTCTTTGTCTAGCCTACGCTGTTCTTTTTCGTTCACAGTAAATTATCCGCACCGAACTTTATGGCAGTTCTTAATTTTCACATGCTAGACCAGAGGTTCGCAATATTTTAAAAAACTACTATAATTATGTAAACAATAATACACTCGCGAGCAAAACTATGGAATCACTTACATGAAGTTGTTTCCACGCGATCTTGTGTACTAACGAATTTGTTAGTAACAAAAAAAGTGGCACCATTTTAAAGATTAAACTTTTAACTTTAAATTGATACCAAATTTATTTAAATCACATCAGTATTTAAAAAGATATCCCGGTTAATGTGACGAAGTAAGGAAAAAGACATGTATCTGTTACAGGAAATGTATGAATTCTAGGAATTGTATACTATTCCTAGGAAATGTATACAATTCCGAAGCTATTTAGGAAATGTATAAAATATTGCTTCAGAGATTTTTTTATTCGCACATATCCTAGGAAATGTATATTTTTCCTAGGAATTTTATAGAACTCCAATATTGTATTAGGAAATGTATAAAACTAAGCGCCACAAGCGCAGGCATGAAGGTTTTAGTACTCCTGTGGCTGGATAACAGTCTCGGTTAGGTTAGGTTAGACTTGCGACCTTACACATACATAGCTGCCGCGGTAGCGCCATTTAAGTTTCGGAGAAAAAAAAGTGGCGTAATAAAAATAATATTGTGTAAAAAAAATTTAGGCTTAAAATTTGTGTGCCATAGACAAATAGGCGTACAAAAAATTTGGCGATTCGATAGAGACCCCGCGTAATCGGATGATGCAATATCTTCCCCTCGCACCGCATGTCCACGCGTATTCATTGTTAACTTAATTACATTTCCGATTGCTGTTTAGGAAATGTGTAATTTTCCTAGGAAATGTGTCTAATATAATTTACATCACACATTTCCGGGTGATTTTAGGACTTATACACAATTCCTAGGAATTGTATACAATGACGGATTTCATACATTTCCTGTAACATATCTACTCTTTGATACGTCGCGAGTTACGGCCTATTTACCCCCTATAAAAGCACGTGTTTTCGGATTTTGCTTTTACACGTTGATCCTTACACATCTCCGCTTCTTTTGACACTTTACCTGGGATTCTACACCTTCAGAAGCAGCATAAATCGTTGCACTATTGCAAGAAGAGCTCAGCCAGCGGGCTGTCGCACGTCAGCTCCACATAAGCCAGTCCTGGGTTTCGAAAGTTTTAAGACGCTTTCGGGAGACTGGTGGCTTTATCCTGAGACCAAGTTCTGAACAGCACCGGTGCACATCGCAGAGGGATGACCGTTTTTTCATGTCAACCTCTCTATAAAATCGTCATTTGACTGGTATCGACGTCCAGCAAGAGCTCTGAAATGTTCGTAGGATAGCTGTTAGCAAGTGGACAGTTCGTCTAAGATATAAGCAATAGAATTTGACTCCAAAAAGGCCTGCCACGGGCTCGAAACTGACGGCAGGTCACCGATAAGCACGCTTTCAATTTGCTCGTACACATCTCGATGGGAAGTCGAGCAAGCCACCCCTATAAGCCACTGTTTCAGAGAATCAGCACTGCACAAATCTCTCCCCAGGCCGCCTATAGACCCGACCTCTTCGACTGCTGCACTGCAAACACAGTCTGCATTCATCGGAGAACAAAACTCGCCTCCATTACTCGCCTTCCCATCAAAATAAGTGCGAGCTAATTGAAAGCGTGCTAGTCGGTGACTTGCCGTCAGTTTCGAGCCTGTGGCAGACCTTTTTGGAGTCAATTTCTATTGCTCATATCTTATACGAACTGTCCACTCGCTAACAGCTATCCTACAAACATTTCTGGGCTCTTGCTGGACGTCGATATCAGTCAAATAACGATTTCATAGAGAGTTTGACATGAAAAAACGGTCATCCCTCTGCGATGTGCACCGGCGCTGTTCAGAACTTGGTCTCGGGATAAAGCCAGCAGTCTCCTGAAAGCGTCTTAAAACTTTAGAAACCCAAGACTGGCTTATGTGGAGCTGACGTGCGACAGCCCGCTGGCTGAGCCCTTCTTGCAATACTGCAACGATTTGTGCTGCTTCTGAAGGTGTAGAAACCCAGGTAAAGTGTCAAAAGAAGCGGAGATGTATAAGGATCAACGTGTGAAAGCAAAAATCCGAAAACACGTGCTTTTATAGGGGGTAAATAGGCCGCAACTCGCGACGTATCAAACAGTTGATACATGTCTTTTTCCTTACTTTTTTACATCAGCCGGGATATCTTTTTAAATACTGGTGTGATTTAAATGAATTTGGTATCAATTTAAAGTTAAAAGTTTAATGTTTAAAATGGTGCCACTTTTTTTGTTACTAACAAATTCGTTAGTTCACAAGATCGCGTGGAAACAACTTCATGTAAGTGATTCCATACTTTTCCTCGCAAGTGTATTACGATGAAACCATCTACATTCAAAGCATTTTTCCAATAGTACTTACCACTTGTTAATAGAAATAAGTAAGTAGGCTTTTTAACGTAACTGTTAAAGCATTGATTTGTTATTTCAACAAATTGCTTACTTCACTTAGAAGTGTCCAAATGTAAGCGATACCCATTGGGTATAGTAGGTACATACAATAAGATATAAATCCGCTAAACCTTAATCTACCCATAATGCTATGGCACCTTTAATAAAACTTTTTTCTTACCTGATGTTTGTACCACATATTATTATGTCCGTGAATCAGTGTTGCTCTGTTTACCATTTTTTTAGAACTTTTCATACATAGTGGTAGCGTTAATTTCTTCTGACCGAGTTATCCCAGATTTAGCTGTGTTAATTCATATCCGTTGTAGCTTTTGGTATATGCTTTGTTTGCATAGGAATTTGTTGTTTCTGTTGTGTTACTCAAATCGCATTTTTAAGTTGTGATGATCATCATGATGATGTGGTTTTAGTATCTATCTATTTATTTAAAATATTTATTGCACACATAATAAATAGTGGTACAACAGGCGAGCTTAATGCCATGTGGCATTCTCTTCCAGCTAACCAGAAAATTAGGCAAAACAGAGAATTCTCTGTTTTGCCTAATTTTCTGATTATCTAATTGAATCTAATTAAATCTATGTATTATAATTATTTTTGAAATAGGAAAGATCTGATCTTCAGACGATGGCATAATCTGGTATGCTGGCTGGATTTTTAATGATATAGAGTAACTTAGTAGGATGTATGGTTTTTATTCTTTTTACTGTTTCTGTTTTTTTTTGTTTCTATTATTTTATTGTCTTAATGATATTTTATTGTTTCAGATGATGCAAGAAAACCTGAAATTAATCAAGATCACAGAAGTTTCACTTTAATAAAATGAGAAACAGTGAAGTGACTTAAATCAAAGTGTGTTTTGCAAGTTAGCAACTGACTTATTATTAGCATAGTTAAAATGATTCTTAGTTAGTTTAGAATAAAATGAACAGATAAAAGTTAAGGTTGAAGGAATAAATTGTGAACGAACAACATGGAGAGGAGAAAATGTTTTGTATGGCACAAATTATTTTGGTAAGTTTTATAGTTTATGTAAAGTAGTTTTTCCACTTCTGAAATTCTTCATTAGGCTACGTCTGTCGTAGTAACATTTAAACTTTTTCTTCGCCATCGAGATACTTGAGAAAAAAATAATTCATTTTTAATTTCCCATTACGTAAGTACACATTTTATTATTTCATATCTTCATGTTTTATTTTATTAAATTTTTCTTTCTGAGACGATGTGATAGGAATAAGAACTATAAAATTAGGTACATACTGTCGTTACTTAATATTCTTCTTACCTGACATACCCGAGACCCTATAGGCACTAGTGAATAGGCATCTTCTCAGCAAAGCTCGCTCTATCAAAGATCGAGTCTTTGAGTGAGGCTGGTATCAAGATCCATTCAATAAAGGTACCTTAGAAAGAACTTACTGGATTTTAAAATGAAGCCACGATAGCAGAACGGTGAAGGGGTCGGACTATCCGGAGAACGCGTGTTCGGTCCCCGCCGCCGATCGACTATTAAATTGTGGTGAGCTTACTCGTGACACAAGCATACTCGTATTTAACTTAGTACGAGGGGCTAACGAGAGTATTAGTAATTTGTACAATAACAAATTACTGATAATCTTAAAAAAAAATACCAATAGTTTTCGTTAGATTGATGCTTCAGGGAAAGTGTTATCACCCCAACAATATAAATAATCTAAGCGTCGTCAACGTCTAGCTCCGTAGTTCATAGCTTACGTTTACGAGGAACTTCGTTATGGTTATATCTATCTTTGATGACGACGCTGTCAGATGCATGCATGCATACAGTTTACTTACATGCATTGTCCATGCATTTTCATGCTTAAGCCTCGTGTTCACTAGATACCAGACAAGTCATGCCTTGTTGGTCGACGTTGACTGACATCGAATATATTCTTTTTCTTCTTCTCACTCACAATGCACAAACTAGCCCAAGATTATTCTGCTAAATTTTTCTAGTATAGTTTAAAATATTAAAAACATGAGTTCCCAGTTACAAGTATTTTTAGTAACATAACCGCGAACTCTACATTTTTATACCTTAGATTAGAGCTTCTGAGGTTTATAAATTGTTGCAATTTATTATAGTCTTGTAAACAAGTTTCCCATTATTTTATTTTAGCTTTACGTTATAATAAAGAAGTAAACAGGTATTAATTTCAAATATTTTAGATTTTTTTCCACATTTTGGCAAAACATATTTACTCCTTGATTTATAAGCCTAATTCATATTGCTATGTTTATGTAAATACATGACGGGGTCGTATTTTATTTTAAAAAAGATACAGGTCGTGACTTCGGGAAGTTCCCACGATTTTTCATTTCCCCCAGCATTTTTAAATATGAAATATTTGAATAATTCATAATAATATGTGCTTACAAAGATTTGCAAACACGACAATTACATATTTGCACACATCTGTTTACATTTAGCGAAACTCAACATACTTACTGTGTCAATATTCGTTTACGTGGTTTTCTAAACTTTAATCCTATTATGTTAATGATATACAATGCAAATAACTATCATTCATGCATGGTAAATGTTATGGGTACAGTGACATGGTAAAAGTATTTTTACTGTGATTTCTAATCTAGGTTGTTTAAAGTTGACAACATGTAAACACTACATTAGTAACTTATTTTTTCTTATGTCTAATTTATCACAAACCGAAGGTTTATTTAAAAGCATAAAATTATACTTTAACCGTTGACTTTGCTGTGTGTAAGCTTTTTAACGTACATATGAAAGTATGTACTAAATTATATTACCTAATCTAATTATGCATGAAGCTTAACTACCAACTACCTGCACGATCAAAGTGGTAGAACCTAGTAGTATTAGTGGTAGATTCTTCAAAATAATTCATGGCTTAGTAATTCCAGTTAAATCGTACAGACAAATAATCACTACGTAACCACCGAAAAATTCAATCATTCAGATTTTTTTTACCTTTAAAGACATTTACAATCGCCTGTTTCCAACGTTATACATTTCTCGTGACAGTAATCATGTTTAAAAAACGTACAAAAGTTTTTTTAACTTCTAAAACTTCTTCCATCGACTGTACCAAGACAAACAGCTTACTAATTACGCGGCCCACGGGACATCACTCGATATTTTTGTACACGGTGAGTTCAGGAGAGGGCAAACGGTACCTCTGAGAGGTACTCGAGACTCCTTCGAGAGCGAGGGTAAACAAAAATTACACGGCCTATTCAGATTTGAAATGAGGTCAAGATTCCAGCTTGGCTTATGGAGCCTCGGATGAAATAGGTTTTCTTTCGTGCTTTTAATTATTTTAAATATTATGAATGTAAACAATTTTGGGTTGTTCTTGGAACTATGCTGTACCGTATAAATGCAACACTATTTTTAATTATAAAAAAATATGGATAACTTAGGCTGAGTTGCACCACCTTATTTTAACCGTAACAATAACAATAACTGGTGCTTTTTTCATGGAATTTGACAAATTATTGATGTTTGTTAAAGTTAAAGCAAGATGGTGCAACCCAGCCTTTCTCATTAAAACAAACAAACATCAAGCAAAAAATTAAATGGCAAATCGCAATAAAAAATCTACCCATATAAACTTCCTTTGACTTTATTTTACACGAGTACATAAAGTAACGCCGATTTTAGACTTTTCAGGAGTGTGTTTTCTTGTTTCATCCTGTATAAGGCCAAGTGTCGTACAAAAAATATCTACAACAAACTTAAATTCATAAAAAAACACTTGAATTGAAAGGCCTTTGACCAGCAGAGTGACACAAATTGGCTCTTTAATGTGGAAGGCGAACGGTACTCCATTCTCATCACTCCTCGAGACTCCTTGAAGATGAAAGGTAAACAATAATTACACGGCATATTTGATCGATTTGCCGACTAGGAAACAAAAAAAAAACTAAACAAGGATCGAAAGAAATTATTTTTGGAGTTATCATAGCCATTTAATGCACAAAATAACAGTTTGTTTTGTTTTAAAAAGACGCTTTCAATGTTGATAGCTATGAATGAATTTAAATCTTTGATGACCTTTTTGATGCTCTTGTGGTTAAAGATAATGCTTTGGATATCTAAAAGCATTAATAAAAAATACTTGAAAATGTGCATTGAATTTTATGAAATGAATCGTATGTGCAGATCAGCAACTGTTACTTGAACTTGGCTTGACACGCTACCGCGTAGACACGCGGGAATTTGGACAGATTCCCGTTGTCCCAGACTTGTCCCCACTGGTGGGGACAGTGGGAATAAACCGAAGTACCTAACCATTGTGACATATTATTGTGTAACTTTACATCAAAAATGATGTGTACTGTAGACTGTCCAAGTCATGTGACCATGATTGAGGGACGTAGGTGCCGTTACGTCTTTCTTCTTACCCGAAATGCAAGCTTCCAAGCCGCTGGCTACATGTCTTAATGTGTTCCTAACCGTGTTAACACAAGCGTAGAAAATAACTTTCAACAGCTTTATAAACATAGCTGGGCATTAACTCGTTAATCCGTTAATCGTTAATTAACGAAGTTAACATTTCTATTAACGGATTAACTTTTAAGTTAACTTTAAAAATTGTTAACGGACTCGTTAACTTCCGTTAAAGTATCCTAAGTCCGTTAATCGTTAATCCAGTACCTACTATTTATCAAAAAGATACAGCAGGCACGCTGAAAAACGCGTTCTGACAAGTACGTTCGGGCTTCCAGAACTTCCAGAACCCAAAGCAACAGTTTTTGTAATCAGATCACTAACGCAACGATATATTAAAATGAATTTTTTTATTTATTTACAACTGAATTTAAGACCAGAGGTGGAATTGTGTAAAGCAATCGTTATAATTTGACAGTTCATAACGTACGATTATTCTGTCAAACGCTTTGTATAACTGACTTTATCGTACGTTATGAACTGTCAAATGATTACGATTGCTTTACACAATTCCACCTCAGTTCTCAACCGATTAAGCTGTATGGTAGGTATACTTATGTAAGTAAGTACGATGACAATGCAATGTTATTGTTGACGATGGCCACCTAGAGTAGGTACAACTTAGCTAGATTTAAATATTATTAATTAAAATGGCTACTTATGAAACTAATTTACTATCTTATTAGATTTGCCTTTCATTTGTATGAATATGTAACTGATGGTGCCTGAATGTAAGGCTATACAGGGTCCTTCTAAACTAGCTACATTCCGTTTAATGGGGGCATCTATACGGTACACTGAACAAGTTCACCAAATTTTCAGTAGGTGAAACCGAGGTCGCGTATTTCCGGGGGCTTGCCGAGTCCGGCAACCAAGACCCTTGGGGTCTGGCCTACCGAGTCGCCAGCGGGCGGAACCGTCCTCCCGCTAACGTGGTCAACGGCACGAAGTTCGCCGAGGGACACGCGGGGAGCGTTGATGAAGCCATGCACGGTCTTGTGCATGCGCTGTGCCCGGACGACGATCCGTCTAAGGACACAGCGTACCACAACCAGGTGCGGACCTCGGCTGCCATCCTCCCTGCGGGTCCCGCCGCCCTTCCTCCTACTCGTGAGTATTTGGGAATCATGATTAGGCAGTTGCCTAACACGGCACCAGGGCTCGACGGGGTCACCGCCAGGATTTTGCGCCAAGTCTGGGCCGCTGCATCGGTGGAATTCCACTTGGTGTATGCCCGCTGCATAGATGAAGGCGTCTTCCCGGACGTCTGGAAGGACGGTCGTCTCGTGGTCCTGCCAAAGGGCAACGACAAGCCGCTCACCGATCCAAAAGCGTACCGTCCGATCACGCTTCTGTCCGTCCTTGGTAAGTTACTTGAACGTGTCATGCTGTGGTGTGCGCCGCAGATATCCAGTGGCATTTCGGACTGTCAGCATGGGTTCTCTCCGGGTAAGTCCACGGTCTCGGCACTTGACGCCGTCATAGGTACCGGCAGGACGTCCACGGCGCGCTATGTCCAAGCGATCTTCCTTGACATTTCTGGTGCGTTCGACAATGCTTG